TTCCTTTCCACGCCGCCTTTACTTCCCCAACTCGAAGTCAGGTACCCATTACTGCTGGGTGGGCAGGAGGGGTGAACAAAAATCCGTGTCTGAACCAAGGCTTGAACCCGGACTGTCCACTTCGGAGACGAGCTCACTAACCGCTCCGCCACTGCACCCTCGTGTCAACCTATGCGTACATATATCAGTCAGCCTATAGGTATATACATCTGTCAGCCTATGAGTCCACACTCGGTGAACATTTTGTCCCCGTTCTGTACTCACCCACACTCGGTGAACATTTTTTTCCTGTTCTGTATCACTCTGAGATGTCATTAAGCCTCAGCGACACGGGAACCCATAGCTGCCCAATTCTCACCACAAAGAAGCCCAGACTCCACCACTAGAACTCAAGATGGTGAGCATCAGCCAAGTTACCCCCCCACCCCCCCCCAACAAACAAACAATCCCTTTTCCAAACTCTTCATACACACTTTTTTTGTGCATTCGATAAATTCATGCTCCAGAGCTGACTGTGGTAAGGGAAACAACTACAATAGACTGATGGGGCTCCTTATCACCTTATCATTATTCCTAGCAAACTCTTGAAACCATTGGCAAATCCGTAAGGAGCAATATACTATACTAGACTACAGAGGCGACACGAAAACTGACTTCTGTATCAACCCTAAAAAACATATCAAAATTCTATTTTCCTGTGCTGGTTGGCAGATGTGGGAACCCACGTGCAGACCACACAGTACCTTGGTTGGCAGCTGATTCTGTCCCAATGTGGGCTACAGTTGTCTTCCACACAGACCACTCTACAGCACGCAGACAGCAAACACGCGGCCCGAACAGCACGCAGACAGCAAACACGCGGCCCACACAGCACACACCCCACACAGCACGCAGACAGCAAGCACGCACCCCACACAGCACGCAGACAGCAACACGCACCCCCCGCAGCACCAGTGGTCAACGTGGGAGGCTGGCACAGAACAGAACGTAGGTACGGTACCTTGGTGAAGGGCAAAAACCCATGATGGGTACGGGGCCAGTTCAGTCAACAGGCGCCAGTTTTGGGGCCAGTTCAGTTGACATTTTCAGCCCAGTCCTGGTGAAGGATGCCAATTTTTGGGGGGGCACCACACTATTCATCACCATAATCATCTCCCTTCACCATTATCAGGCACCACACTATTCATCACCATAATCATCTCCCTTCACCATTATCAGGCACCACACTATTCATCACCATAATCATCTCCCATCACCATTATCAGGCACCACACTATTCATCACCATAATCATCTCCCTTCACCATTATCA